GGGGGGGCAAAAAGGCAAAAAGAACAGAGAAAAAGGGAGGAAGTAAGAAGAAAGAATCGTATTATACACAAACTAAAAAAGCATCCGTATAACTGCCTATGCGCATGTGTAGGAGCATTAAAGTCATTTAGGCATCTGACATATCTGTGGGCATCTGTCACTCTACACTCCACGAACAGTGAGTATACTTATAGTATAACATCCTTATGTTGTCATGATCATTCAAGAGGCGAAACCCCTGAATATAATGTCCGTCTCTAGTTTTGTTTCAGTTACATTTTTACGGCATTTGCAACTCAACTAGGTCATATAAGTGCCGCAGATTGGAGGTGTTACAAAGAATAACAAACACCAAAAAGGAAGAGGAGCTATAAGGACGATAAATTTTCTGTTTTTGTAAGTGTTTTACGGCACTTGCAACACATTAAGGTCACAAGTGCCGAAAATTAGATGTGTAACAAGAGAATAACAAACACAAAAAAGAAGGAGGGGAGATATGGACGGTAGATATTTGATAGAAAAGAAGGAACAAACCACACCAGAGTATCTACCAACCACCTGCGCAAAAAAACTCGCAAAAGTAGGGCTAGATGATAGGTAGAGATACCGGTAGAGCCCCCCTCCTCCCCCCAACTGGTAGCCACAGATGATCTAGTAGGGCGTGAAGAGATGACATGAAGGTATGGCAGGAATCCAGGCAATCACCGTCACTGTCGCCCGATATCAAGCTCTTGACAGACTACTGGAGGGCACTGACCTGACCTCAGTCTTTCTGTCCTTAAAAATCTTTTTCTTTTTTTTTTCAATCCAACTTTCTCTCCCACCTCATCCCCCATCCCCCATCGTCTTTTACAAATAGATATCTCTCTCCCTCTCTCTCCCTCCTTCTCTCTCTCTCTCTCTCTCTCTCTCTCTCTCTCTCTCTCCCTCTCCCTAGAGCCGAGGCCTAAGAGAAACCAATGCAAAAATTGACAATCCAGCTAAACGAAAACGTGACCTGAAGATTAAATTGAGGGTCGAGTCGTAGAACTGTTATTTACGGCGAGTCACCACAACCACGGCCACCTTTCGCCAGGAACAGTATTACTATAATAAAAGAATAGCTTTATTGATATTTTAAGTGTTTTACGGCACTTGAGGCACAATTAGGTCATGTATATAACTGCCGAAGATCAGAGATGTTACAAGAGCGTGACAAACACAAAACAGAAGGAGGAACGATT